TTTTGTCTCATATTCCCACCATCTGTTTTACTGCCTGCTACGTAGTCCAGAATGAATGAATGACTGGCAAGTCAATCAATGAATGAACAAAGAAAGAGAAGAAGTGGCTTTTGGGTTCCTTCCTCCTTTACTCTTTCCCAAACATTTATTCCATGCCCCTGCTAGAGCACGAGAGGTCATACCTCAAAGTTACACTTCCAAGATACACCTATCCTGAATAATCCTGTGAGATACCACCTGACTTCCTCTCTACCACATGCCCAGTGTGACGGATCCAGGACACCAGGCTGACAAGGACAGGGGAAAAAGGAAACAGGTGTAGGACGTTCTGTCCCAGTACCAGTACTGCCCTGCCTGGGTCTGAGCCACCTGGCTCAGGCCTTCCTCACCATGCCTGGGAATCAAGCTGGAGAGAGTCTGTCCTTGGAGATACTGCACTGCTAAAGCTTCTGATTGCATCTCGGATGTAAATTGTTTCCTAAACTACTCAGCTCAAGTTATGTGGGAACTTGAAAACTGTATCTTTGAATATTTAGGAATAGCAATGGACATTTTTTTAGCAAATTTACAGTAGAAAATAGAGACATCCTGGGTAAAATATCATGCAAGTCATTTATTTAGTCACAGATAATTACCAGAAGTTTCCTAAGGCTACATGAGGAATAAGAGTAATCTGCCTTTTATTTGTTTATTTGTTTATTTATTTATTAGGGAGAGGGCAGAGACACAAGCAGGCTCCATGCAGGGAGCCCGATGTGGGACTCAATCCTGGGTCCCCAGGATGACACCCTGGGCCTAAGGCAGGCGCTAAACCACTGAGCCACCCAGGGATCCCCAAGAGTCATCTGCATTAATGGTGATCACAGTGTGTGTGTGTATGTGTGTGTGTGTTGTGGGGAGGGTGAGGATGGGGGTAGTGGATACAGACAGTCAAATAGTAATATTAAAGAGGAGTTCAACTCCCTCCATTTTGACCTCAAACTTTCTTATTGATTAAGTTCTTCTTTCCAGCTTTATCTCTTAAGTCAGGCAAAAGACCCTCTAGGTCAAGCATCCCCTGATGGGAACCAAAACTCCTAAAGCAGTAAGGATTGCCCTGTACCAACAAGGCCTGAATGATTGACCTCAAGAAAACCTGATCAACTTGACCTTGACTACCCAGCAGCATTTACCCACTGACCTCTGTCCCACATTTTCCTTATATAAACCTGGAAGTATTTTTAGCACTTTGGAGACAGTCTTTGAGACTTTAGCCCAAGGTATTCCTGGTGTTGGCCTCACTGAAATAAATCCCTTTCTTGTTGCACCACCACTCATCTCTCTGCCTTTGGATTTTTGTCAGCAGCAAGTGGCTAGGCCTGGTCTGTTTGGGACCCTCTGAGCCAAGCTCTTGCACCCCTGTGCCCTGGTTACAATATCTAGCTTTCTCATAGCAGTTATGATGTGCTGGGTACTTTGCATATGTTAATTCATTTCATCATTCTAACAACTCAGGGATATCCTATTATAATCCCCATTGACAAGGGGACAGATACATTGTAGAATTACAAACCAATAGAGTCATGAAGATACAGTGTAGGGAATAGGAACACCTGATCCTAGTCCTGAGGGTCAGGGAAGATTTCTCCAAATATTAGAGGTTGTAGCAGAGGTCTGAAGATTGAGTCAGAATCTGGTGGACAACGAAGTCTGAGGGTTGAGGCGCCTGGGTAGCTCTGTCATTAAGTGTCTGCCTTCCACTCTGGTCATGATCCCAGGTTCCTGGGATCAAGTCCCACATCATTCTCCCTGCTCAGTGAGGAGTCTACTTCTCCCTTTCCCTCTACCCTTCTGCCCCACTCATGCATGCTCTCCATCTCTCTCTCCTTAGCTCTCTCTCCAAAATAAATAAGTAAAATCTTTTTTTAAAATATTTTATTTATTTCTTCATGAGACACACACACACACACACACACACAGAGGCAGAGACACAGGCAGAGGGAGAAGCAGGGAGCCCAATGTGGGACTCAATCCCAGGTCGCTAGGATCACACCCTGGGCTGAAGGCGGCTCTAAACCGCTGAGCCACCCCGGCTGCCCAAATAAGTAAAATCTTAAAAAAGAAGAAGAGAAAGAAAGAAAGAAAGAAAGAAAGAAAGAAAGAGAAAGAAAGAAAGAAAGAAAGAAAGAAAGAAAGAAAGGTCTGGGAGAAGAGAATTTCAGGCAATGGAAATACAAGTGCAAAGGGATAATAAGTTGTTTGAGCAACTGGCAGGCTGCCCTATAGCAGGAGCATAGGGAGCTGGAGATGAGGCAGGAGAGGTAGGCAGGGGCCATTGCACCCAAGTCTGGTTTTTCTCTGTCTCAAATAGTATCATAAGGTCAGGGATAGAAGATTTAGGGTTTAGCCCTAGTTTTGCTCTTAATAATCTCAGCCATCTCTGTGGTTCAATTTCCTTATCTGGAAAAATGAGTAGCTGGACTAGAGTTCTCAAGTGGCCCCTATGCTTCGAAAGCTGTGGTTCTGGGTAGGGCTCTCCTGGAAGCAATTGCCGTTCCAAGGTGCCTGCTCCGGCTGCTGCTGAATGCACTGAGGCCCAGGGGCTTGGCAAGCAAGCACTTGTTGGCCTCTGACTCTTCTGTAGGTTTAGTCAATACAAATGATGGAGAATATCATACATAAGAAATCACACAGGGCTGGAACCATGGAGGGTGCAGAGAAGAAAAAGAAGGTTCCTGTTGTGCCAGAAACCCTTAAGAAAACGCGAAGGAATTTCGCAGAGTTGAATATCAAGCGTCTGAGAAAAAAGTTTGCCCAAAAGATGCTTTGAAAGTCTAGGAAGTGGATCCCTGGGTGGCGCAGCGGTTTGGCGCCTGCCTTTGGCCCAGGGCGCGATCCTGGAGACCCGGGATCGAATCCCACGTCGGGCTCCCGGTGCATGGAGCCTGCTTCTCCCTCTGCCTATGTCTCTGCATCTCTCTCTCTCTTTCTCTCTGTGACTATCATAAATAAAAAAATAAAAAAATAAAAAAAAAAAGAAAGTCTAGGAGGAAGCTTATCTATGAAAAAGCTAAGCATTACCACAAAGCATACAGGCAGATGTACAGAACTGAGATTCGAATGGCGAGGATGTCATTCGAATTCGAAAAGCTGGCAATTTCTACATGCCTGCAGAACCCAAATTGGCATTTGTCATCAGGATCAGAGGTATCAATGGTGTGAGCCCAAAGGTTTGAAAGGTGTTGCAGCTTCTTCGCCTACGCCAGATCTTCAATGGCTTCAGTTAACATGCTAAGGATTGTGGAACCTTACATAGCATGGGGGTACCCAAACCTGAAGTCAGTGAGTGAATTGATCTATGAGCATGGTTATGGCAGGATCAATAAGAAGCGAATTGCCCTGAGAGATGATAACACATTGATTGCCCGATCTCTTGATAAATATGGCATCATCTGCATGGAGGATCTGAGTCACGAGATCTATATCGTTGGAAAACGTTTCAAAGAAGCAAACAAGTTTTTATGGCCTTTCAAATTATCTTCTCCACGAGGCAGAATGAAGAAAAAGACCACTCATTTTGTAGAAGGTGGAGATGCTGGCAACAGGGAAGACCAGACCAATAGGCTTATTGGAAGGATGAACTAAGGTATCTACCATGATTATTTTTGTAATCTGGTCAGTTAATAAACAACTGCTTTCAAATGGGGGGGAAAAAAGAAATCATACAGTAAATGTGGCTGTGAGCATGGTTTGCTCCCCTCATTTGAGGGATGAACTGCTAATAACAACGTAATTAAAATAATTACCTCTTTGAGGCATTTACTGTGTGCCGGGATCGTACTAGGTAGATTTCTCAGAACAGCTCCTTCTAGATTGGAAAGCTGAGGCCTCAAGGCATTACATAACTTCGGTGAGGTCCTCACCACCCAAATCTGTCCTGCCTACTGAGCATGTCCAGTCCTGTTTCCTATTGTCAGGTGTGTTAACCCGAGCAATTTTCCATGGGTTTGCTCAGTGGCTAAGCCGTCATTTGAACCCAGCTCTGACTCCAAAGCTTATGGCGTTGACCGCCCTGCCATGCTGCCTTCCCTCCTTCAAACACAGGCAACTCCTTACTCTATAAATAGGATGACATTGTCTCTTGACGTCCTTTCTGGGTGAGGAAAGTGCTTTTTATAGCTTGGGACCGCTTCTGTTTACGTGGTGTCTTCCAGCACGGGTTCATCCTGTGTGCAGCTGTGTCCTTCGCTGTCCTTACACTGTATTCCCAGGCTTCCTCCCTGCAAAGGCAACTCCAGGAACCACATGGTGTCTGTGTGTGTGCCAGTGAAGAGATCTCACCCCCCTGCTTCCCAGATCGGCCTGCCTTTCTATAAATAATCGTTCTCCTCCCTCCACTCAGGCCTGTGAGTAGTTTGGTCACTTAACCGAACACACGCACACTCGCAAAGCAAGGCGAGGAGGGGCGCCGTAGGGGACACCGTGAATGACCTTGCAAAGGTGTCTAGCCCACTGCGGGCAGGACTAGCAGACCTGAAACCTCTACAAACCCTTGGGTCCTCGGTGTTCGTCCCCAAGCTGCCGGCTCCTCTGGCGCCAGCCTCGCCCAGTCCCCTCTCCTGCTCCGAGACACAAAGCCCAACCCGCCCATCTCCTTGCAGACCCTGAGAACTTCGGTCCCCATGTTGAAACTCGTCGGTGGCGGTGGCGGTGGCGGTGGCGGTGGCGGTGGCGGTGGCGGGCAGCACTGGGCATGCTCAGTAGCGGGGCCGGGGCCGGGCCGGGCCGGGGCCGGGCCGGGGCTGGGGCCGGGAGGCAAGCAAGCCGCGTTGGAAGTCGCGCGGCCGGGGGGCCGGGGGGAGGCGGGCTGTGGGGGCCCCGGCTGGCGGTCGGCGGGGATCCCCGCTTCCGCGCGGGGAGCCGGCATGCTCCGGGCCGGCGCGGCGGGGCGGGCGCGCGCGGGGCAGAGCGCGGGCGCGCGGGGGGAGCCGGTGGGAGAAGGGGAGGAGCGCCGGGCTCGCCGTCCGCCGGCGCCGGCTCTGCGGCTGCTGAATCGGAAACCGCAGGGAGGATCCGGGGAAATAAAGACGCCCGAGAATGACCTCCAGCGAGGCCGCCTGAGCCGCGGGCCGCGCGCCGCCGCACCAGCCCCGGGCATGGGCGAGCGGGGCGGGCGGCCGGAGCCCTCGGCCACGCACGCCCCGGGGGCCCCCGCCGGCCCCGGCCCCGGCCCCGGCCCCGGCGCCGCCGCCGTCAACGGGCTGCTGCACAACGGCTTGCACCCGCCGCCGCTCCAGCCGCCGCGCCTCTGCAGCCGCGGCCCCGCGGGCGGTGGCGACGCGGCGCCCCCGCGCCTCCCGCTCCTGCCCGAGCTCCAGCCGCAGCCACCGCCCCCTCAGCACGACTCCCCGGCCAAGAAATGCCGGCTGCGGAGGAGGATGGACTCTGGGAGGAAGCACAGGCCGCGTAAGTCCCTCGGCCAGGGGAGCGCGGGCGCGCGGCAGGCGCACCCCGCGGGCCCGGCACCGGGGAGCCGCGGGGCAGGCACCGCAGCGCGCGGGGGAGCCTCGGCGCCCGCTGGCGGGGGCTGTGCGGGGGGGCTCCCGGGACCGATTCTTTCCCCAGGGGCTCCAGGCACTAGAGATCGCTGCCTGAGCCTCACTCTTGCTTGCTTCGGTCTGCAGAATGGGCCGATCGAATACAGATCCGGCGCTGCTCCTGCAGTCACGGCTCTAAAAAGGCTACTGCTCTGCCCGCCTTCCTAATTCGTTGTTGGGAAAATGCACGTGTGAGAACGTTTCTCGGGGTCCGGGAGTAGGCGCAGACTGGAGGGACAGCCGGAGCCACCCTCTCGCATCTCCTTGCCCCTCATCATTCTGGGGATGGCGCTCAGGCAGCCACCTTGTCCTTTGAATCGCAGACTAGCCGCCAGTACCTCGGGTCTATTGGCAAGCGCCAGGCCTGGAGGCGTGGAGTTTGACAACCCCCCAAATCACAGCCTCTTAAAGGCTTTTCCCTCGTAGCCAATGAGAGGACCTGTCGGCAATGACACACCCACTGATACCATGTGGGCCGGAACTATGTGGACCAATGAGAATTGGAGGTGGATTTTTTTTTTTTTCGGGAACTGAGGAGATAGAGAGTTGAGGATTTCTAATGGTACTGTGCAGCGTAAAAGGCTGAAATGCGTTATTTCACGGTCCGAGCTTGCATATGATGTTAGTTTATAAAGACTACCTTCCCCGCAGGACGTTGTGAGATGTAAATTTGTAGATCGAGTTTACAACTGGTTTTTCATATCTGAGCCGAACCTCATTCAACTGGTGTCTTTAATGAAGCTTATAAATGGCAAAAAGCAAAGTAAGTAGAATGCATACTAATTAGTGATTGCACTCAAACACCATTTACGTATATCTGATACGGAGAAATTGCTAGTATAGGTTTTGGATTTATCTATAAAAGCTTGATATTTGGCCAACTTTGGTGTCTCTGCTTAGACTCTTAGTTTTCCTGCGCTCAGTTAAAATCTATGGGACTTGGAAGGTATTGTGATGTGCGGGGCCGTTGACTCTGATACTTGTATTTTGTAGATCTGAAATGTTTAGGTTGAAAGTTAAAGTCTTGTCTGGAACTTTGAAGCCACACAGAAGATTTGGTAATGGTTGTAAGGAGGACATCTATTTAGCGCTTGAATTTATTTTATTTATTTATTATTTTTCTTTTTGAGACTTGTTAGAAAATTTCTTTATTGACTTAATATTGATTACTTATGATTTATTAACTGGTTTTAGTTCTTTCGAAACAACATTTTAGTTATTTCTCTGATCTACATGTACAAATTGCATGACAATTTGCAACGTAAATAGCTAAAATATATTGAAAGAGAACTGTGTTGAGTTTTGTGTATACAGCTAGCTTATATGGTCTATGAGGGCATAACACCTTTTGAAATAAGTTTTGAGGAATTTAAAGTACACTCTTAATAATAGATTGGAAGCATAGAAAAAATAATTTGAGCCTTAATTTGAGCTTGCAAACCTACAGGGATTATTATTTTAGAATACAAGAAAATGTGACTTTATGCCTGTATCTTTGGTGTCAAAAATTAAAGTGGTTTGTATGTTTTACAAAGGTAAAAACCTGGACAGCCCGGGTGGCTCAGCGGTTTAGCGCCGCCTTCAGCCCAGGACGTGATCCTGGAGTCCAGGGACTGAGTCCCTACGTCGGGCTCCCGGCTTGGAGCCTGCTTCTCCCTCTGCCTGTGTCTCTGCCTCTCTCTCTGTGTGTCTCTCATGAAGAAATAAATAAAATCTTAAAAAATAAACACCTTAGCTATTTTAAGTTCAGTGACCAGGACACATAAACTTTTAAAAGGGATCCATCGAAACTGACTTTTTATTATCCTACCATGCATGTTTTCTTTTCTCAAATTTGAACAGACATTTCCGAAATAAATTTTATGTGTTCTGAGTCACATCTGCTGTGTTCACCACCAAAATTTCTCTGTAAAAACTAGACACTTTAATGTCTTTATACCTTGCCTAAGTTACCTTTTGCGTATCTTTTTAATATTTAGGTATCTTTTTATGAAAAAGGATATGCTCAATCATTCATATTTAGGTTCTCTAATACACTGAGAGTTAAGTATATCCCTATTTTCTAATGACGGATAGATTTTCTGTGAGCAGCTATAACAAAGTATTGGATGCTTTAAATAAAATGTAAGAGTATGTTGGGGTGGAAGCCCTGAAGCTAGGCAAATAATTCCTACTTAGCAGTTTACAACATTAGATACTTGATTTTATTTAAACCAGAAGTGTGCTAAAGACAGCCAGATCTTACTTCTCTCAGATAAGCATCTGGAATGCTTATGTGAGTAGGTATGTTTCTGCTTGGTAATATTGCAGTTAGAGTGCAGTACATATTGAAATTCTTTATGTTTAAAAACAATAAGGAAAAAAAAACATTCATTGAGCAGAATGAAACAAATAATTCAATAGTTTCTAATTGTTTAAAAAATTTAAATCTCAGTGCAGGGACTCTTCACAAGCTTATAATTTAAACACCAGACCTGTGGCAGGTTGATTTTGCTAAGCCAGGAAAGGGGAACATTGTCCACTGTTTTCATTGAAAGTACTATTTCCTTACTAGTTGTCCTTGGAAAGCTTTTCTAAGACTAACTGCTTCATCAGGCTTCCTTGGTTACTTGACTTCCCTCTGCTACTCAGCAGCTGTGTGACCTTAACTAAGTTACTAGCTCTCATCTTGAGGTATTGGAGTTGGCTAGATGATCTTCAAGTGTGGTTTCTTATATCTTTCAAATTCTATGACACTTCAGAGCTGATAGTTCTTTCTACATGACTCTACACTAGTTATCCACTCTGCCACATGCTTTAGCATTTAACTATGTTTGGGGGTTTGGGGAATTTTTTTTTGACTTGCGCCAATTGTTTCATGTGTGTTATTTGTCTTATCTCCTCTATTAAGTTGGAAGTCTGACTATAGATAACATAGTTTTTTCTCTTATGCCTTGCACCTTGGGTATATGAACATTTGATTGATGTCACAGAGAAAAAGTACAAATGACATTAACTCCCACCTCATTGAGATAAGCCATCTCCATCCATAAGATAGACTTTGGCAAAAGTCCTTCAGTGGATTTTCCATAAAGTATCAACTGGGAGATTCCTTTGGCCTGCTCTTGGCACTTTGATTCTTCAAAGCACACATAAATGACACCTTATAGAGATAGTACATTTCTCAAATATTTTGAAACAAATAATAATAGTCCTAATAAAATGCTGTGAGGACCTAATGTATTGTAAATGGTGTAGCCATTCATACCCAGGAGGGCTTGAGTTTGTTTGTTTGTTTTAAAGATTTTATTTATTTATTCATGAGAGGCAGAGAGAGAGAGAGAGGGGCAGAGACACAGGCAGAGGGAGAAGCAGGCTCCATGCAGGGAGCCCAACTTGGGACTTGATCCTGGGTCTCCAGGATCACACCCCTGGCTGTAGGTGGTGCTAAACTGCTGAGCCACCCGGGTTGGGAGAGCTTGAGTTTGAATTGCAGCTGGATGGACTAAAGCCAGTTATCTTACCTTCCTGCTTCAGTTCCAGTATAAGATGGGGATAATCAATAATCGTACTCTCTCATTGGGTTGATGTGAGGATTAAATGAGATAATGTATATTAAGAACTTAGATTCCTGCTTGGCACATAGCAGTTATTCAGCGAATGCCAACTGTCATCACCTCCATACAAAATACTGTCCACTATTAATCCATAGGACAGGACAATTGAACTGGCAGAGACAATTCAGACTGACTTAGTATAAAAAAAAAAAATACAGGCTCAGAATAAGAAAGACCAAAGTGTTTTATTTAATAAGCTGTAACAGGAATGCCTGGGTGGCTCAGCAGTTGACCGTCTGCCTTTGGCCCAGGGCGTGGTCCTGGAGTCCCAGGGTGGAATCCCACATCGGGCTCCCTGCATGGAGCCTGCTTTTCCCTCTGCCTGTGTCTCTGCCTCTCTCTCTCTCTCTTTCATGAATAAATAAATAAAATCTTTAAAAAATACATTTTGATAACTTTTTATTTAAAAATAAAATTTTAGCATAAACATTTTCTTATGGCATTAAAACATCATTTTAATAGTTGTATTATATTTCCAATTTTCATGATATGGATATACCATTATTTATTTAACCTTTCTCTCATAGCTTTAGGCTATGAGGGTCTCTATACCATAAATAGTGCTGCAGCAACAACTTTGTACATAAACTCTTTCTTAAGTATTTTTTGTTTGTTTTTAAAAAATTTGTTTATTTGAGAGGGAGAGAGAATGTCAAGCAGACACCCGCTGAGCAGGAACTCAGCTTGGGGCTCTATCTCACCACCCAGAGATCATGACCTGAGCTGAAAACAGAAGTCCAACCCTCCACCAACTGAGCCACCTAGACGCTCCTTAAGTTATTTTTGTAAATACATTTTGAGAATGTGAATACATTTTTTTTTTTTTGGAGGAGGAACAGAAATGGAACAAAGTAGTATTTAGATGTTGCCTTGAAATGCTGGGTATTTTAGACCACAAGGACACTTATATGAGCCACCTTAGTGGAAGGAGGAAAAAAATTCAAAGGAGATTGTTGGAGTCACTGAACACTATGCTACAGAAAGGCAAATATTTGGGCATCATCAGAAGTCAGGAGGGTGAGTGCTGCCCTGTCCATTCCCTCTTCTGTTGTGTGGCAACAAGCAGAAATAAGGACTGGATCAATGCCGGCAGCCTCCTGTGGGGTGGGAGTGGGTAGGTCTGGCTTCTCAAATCATTTAGGTAGAAGAATACTAGCAGAAAATGGGTGAGAGTTCATTATACACATAACATACTCATGGTTACAAACTGAAGAAACCAAATCTTTTTTTTTTTTTTTTTTTTTTTTAAGATTTTATCCATTTATCCATGAGA